ATGGGGTCCCCAGAAAGATGAAACATACTCTGTGCTGTTGGGAATCATCTGCAGAGCCTGGCAGGGGACCCTGCATGCTTACCCTGTGCAGGGCAGACAAGAAACGTTCACTGTTTAGTAAAACACACCACGTCTGGCCTTTGCCTTCAGAAAAGGCATCAAAGTCTGAATTCTACTTTTACGTGTGGTGGGTGTTCAAACATGTAAAGCCAAACGAGTTCACTGGGAAATGAAAAGAGTATATAAAGGCTATCCACACCAGGATTACAGCCATGAAAAATCCATACAGGCGCCTCAAGAGGGCAGGAAGGGGCCATCAGGAAAGAAAACAGAGCAGCGATGCGGAATTATGAGTCATTGTTTTATTTTACTTAATTGCTCTGGCTGTAAATTTTTCAAAACTAATATAAGCATATTTTACAGCTCACAGAACATTTAGAACATATTAAAATAAGTATCTTTCCACTGTAATGTGCCCAATTGAAATTTATGAATTCCAAAGCTACACTTGAAGGAGAAGAACTGGCACTGCACGTTCTTTAGATTAATCAGATGGATTGGGTTGTTTTTCTCCTGATGAGAAAAGAAATCATTTCTCAGTAAATGTTACCTTGAATCAAGGATTCTTCCACATTCTAGAAGCTTGGGTGAGCACAGATGTGAAGTCTTACTGTGCCCTCTAGTGGCAAACTGGATTTATGTACGCAAAACACAACTTTCCCAAGCTGTGCAATAAAACCCAGAAAATGTTTTAAAATCTTTATTGATCACTTAACATGTACAAAATTTTGTGCCAGATGCTACAGAGAATATAAAAATGGGTCTGGCAGGGTTCCCAAGCTCAAGAAGCTTAAGAATCGAGCAAGCTACTAAGGCAACCTAAGCCGCCTCTGCTGGGGAAGGGAAACAATTCCTGGAAAGAACAAGACCCCAGCACACATTGAACACAGACACCAGCCCAGCACCACCCCACAGAGTTCACACCCAAGGCGTCTACTGTGCACAGAACCCACAGGGGCACGCATATGGTGCCACTTCATGGACACACAAACTGAGGCCCAGAGAAGTGAAATGACTTGCAACAGACCACAGCCCATGACATGGCACAGAGGATTCAAGCTCAAGCCTTGGCATCCAAGTTTCTCAATCAACTTGTCCAAAACAGATTTGCCATATAACCCAATCCCTGAAAACTGCCAGGTATCCTAAAGCACAGAGGACTCCACCTGAGGTTTGCACCCACAGTGTATGAAAGCCTCGATTTCCAAACACCTCAGAAGATATGAACCTAGCAGCCATAGTCAGCACTGACTCAACCCCAGGACTGCACATGTGCTCTGTCCCTGGGGCCACTTCCAGAGCCACCCTTGGGGCTGTACCCTGAGGGCTACAAAATAGAGTGGGTAGGGCTCCCTAGAAGCTGCCTGGTAGCCCCAGAGGCCCCATGCCAGCAGTGTCATCTTCAGCACACAGACCTCCTCTGGACAGGCGGGCACAGCAATAGCACAGTCTGCAGTGCTAAACCAACCCCAACAGTAGGGCTTCCTGCCATTCCAAGTAGGACCAACTGCGCCCTCTTCTGGTCAAAGGTGTCACTGTTGACTGGCTGCTCAGGGTTTCTGCCATCAGATCCTCCAGGGCAGGAGCAGTTCTCCTGCATCCTCAGAGACACCAGGCCTGACATCATTCTACTCTCTAGCACCCAGATACCACTGCTCCCACTCAGAATCCCTCTGACCAAAAACTATCATGGAGATGCTTCTGTTGAGAAAACCTAAATTTCCTGGGCAAAAGCGATCCCCTGGCCAAGTTGCTCCACTCCAGACAGCACTTCAGTATACTACCAGGTGGGGGCCGGTCCTCACTGGGCTCCAGGTCTGCCTCTCCCCATCGGGAAACAGAGTCTGGTCCCCGGCAGGTGAGCCAGGTCACACTCAATTCACCCATATCTCTTCAGGGCCAGAGCCTCATATGAAGGCACTGTCAGTGGCAGGCCTATGCTCCCGATGGCTGCCAGAATGTCCAGTCCTAGAGAAGTGACCCTCACTCCCTAGTGGGCCCACCCTTTGTGAGCCAGGGATCACACTAGGTGCTGTGGGCACACAACATCAGACCTCTCTCCCACCCAGAGGCCACAGGCCTGTCCAATGTCAAAATGCCACTGGAGGGCTGGGGCTGAGGCTCAGTGGCAGAGCGCCTGCCTCACACATGTGAGGCACTAGGTTCTATCCTCAGCACCATATGCAAATAAAATAAAGGCATTTTTTAAAAAATACTTAACAAAAACTGCTGCTGGAGATGGAGCCAGACCCTGAGCCCTGTCCACTCTAACTACAACCACACCTGCGCCCCGCAGGAGTGCCTCTGTGGTGAGGGTGCAATGGGCTCTGCAGCAAGAGATGAGGGAGAGGACCAAGGGCCTGCAACTGACACTTGCACAGAACAGGAAGGAGTCCAGACAGCAGGGGTCCACCACCAGGCCACCAGGGTTTGGGGGGGTGGAGCCTGGTGTAAAAACACCTCCAATGTCAGGCCCCCCAGCACAGGGCCTTGCCCGCCTGGTGCCAAACCTCTCCTGCAGCTGCAGCACGGCCTCACACACAGCCACCAGTTTAGCTGGACACCCAGCAGAAATCCAGGAACCTTAGAGAGAGTGAAGAGCAGGGAAGAGGCCCCAGCAACCAGGTGAGCTCAAAGACAGGAGGTACCCTGGAACTCCAGGGACAGCCAGGCACTTCCAGGGCAGAGCATACCCACCAGGGCCCCCAGAAACCCTCCCAATAGGTTCCTCTGGCCTGTTGGCCTCTATAGGAGCAGACTCTCAGGGAGGGGAGCTGAGAGAACCCAAGCTCCCAAATCAATCCAAGCACGTTAAGACCACCCAGGGCCTCCTGAGCAGCTTTCACAGACCCAGTATGGCAGGAGAAGCACCTCAGACCTTAGTGAAGAGTCCCAGACTCCAGCTGAAGACAGAGCATGAGCTCAGCTCCATTCGCTCTGGCAGAGTAGAGTCCAAATGAGTTCCTTCAGAACTTGGACCAACTGCCTAGTAACAATGCCCACAAATTCAGCTCATCCCTAAGATGCCATTACTCTGCAGCTTCCTCTCTTTACATGAGAAAGTGCCTCCTAGGCTGGGCACACACCTGCCACCGCACTACTCAGGAGGCTGAAGCAGGAGGATCTCAAGGAAACACTCATAGGAAAACAGGTTCAAAACATAAGTTGCAGATAAAAGGACTTAGATAATCTAGTTCCAGAACTCTGAGGAAAGGAAGACGGAAACAGCAACATTTACTAACACCTTGTGGGCACCAGCTCTGCACCAAGTGCTTTTAAAAGTATTTTTCTCACAGGATCACAACACAGGCACAATTATGCCTTTCACAGGTGACACACCAGACTCAGCAGGACAGCGTGAGCTGGAGACCAGCTCCTCTGTCACAAAAATTAATTTGAAGCTAAGAACCTCCAAAAGGAAAGTCATGTGATTTCCAGGTTTCAGTTCAGCTAGTTAAAAGCAGCTGGTTAAGAGGTGCTCGACAGATACTGGTATTTGCCTTCCCTTTGACTATTCTATAAATTTGAGCTCTTCAAGCCTCTGCTTTATTTATTTTGCTAGCCATAAGTTAGCATCACAAACTGCAATTAAACACAGGGATGGGGCTGGGGATGTGGCTCAAGCGGTAGCACGCTCACCTGGCATGCATGTGGCCCTGGGTTCGATCCTCAGCACCACGTACAAATAAAGATGTTGTGTATGCCCAAAACTAACTAAATAAATAAATATTTTAAAAATAAATAAATAAATAAATAAATAAATAAAATAAACACAGGGACACTGCATTTTTTGAAAACAAATGTTTAATTCCACTGATGTTTCATTCAATGGAACTTTTCTTTCTTTTGTGCACACATGTGCATGTGGTGCCAGGGATGGAACACAGGGCCTGGCATGTGCTAGGCAAGCGCCCTACCACGGAGGGGTACCCCAGCCCCCTTTTCATTTCATCTTGAGACCAGGTCTTAACAAGTTGCCTAGGCTGGCCTGAACTTGTGCTCCACCTTTCTCAGCTTCCCCAGTAGCTGGGATCACCGGCCTGCATCACCACGCCCAGTGTCAACAGAACATTTGTCCTACTTGGTATTTTCTTTTTTGTGCCCCCAAAGCTAGATTATAAAAACCTGAGGGCTGGGGCTAGGGCTCAGTGGCAGAGTACCCACCTAGCATGTGTGAGGAACTGGGTCCGATCCTCAGCACCACATTAAAATAAAATAAAGGTACTATGTCCAACAACTAAAAAATACATTAAAAAAAAAAAAAAACCTGAGTGCTGATTATCCTCACTAGTATTCAAGGTAATGCACAAAGAAGCATCATCATATATCATCAAAACATTAACAGTGGGTGCTGGTGAGCATGGGTGAGCGGGTTCGGGCACACAGGCCACTCTTTGGAAAGGCCAGGAGCCCTACACTCCTCCCAGGAGCCATCAGAAGGAAGCACCAGGCCAGGAAGGTGAACAAAATTCATATAGCAGCACGTTACTGCAGCCTAACTCAAATACTAGAAACTTCCTTACTGTCTAACGATAGGGAAGGGGTTCAATAAATCATGACATAATCCAATGGTCAGATAATATAGCATCATTATGGAAAAAAACAAAGAGTGTATCTTCTGGCTCTACCATAATCTGTTGAATGCTCTGGTGGCCTGGGCAAGGGAGCATAAGGAAAAGGGCAGAGGGCAGGAGGCACCAAAGAAAATGACAGAAATCTCCAACAAGGAATATGGAGCCTGTGCCCACCACAACCTCTAACAAATAAAACACCCTGGGGGAATTCTTTGTTTCTTTGGGGTTTTTTGCCATGCTGGGCATTGTCCCCAAGGCCTTGTGCATACCAGGCAAGCACTAAGACCATTAAGGCACACCCCAGCCCACAAGTAACCCAGCAGTCTGTCCCCAAGAGTGTCTGAGAGGAGCTCACTCCATCCTTACCTTGAAGGTTTTGTCCATAGATGTGGAGAGGAGCATGTGGCTCCTGGAGGGGACAGGACACCACTGAATGCTGTTGACGGGGCCCCTGTGGCCACGCAGGTGGAAAAGCACGGTCCTGGGCACCCTGGTTTCTCTGCACTGACTGTTCAAATATGGCTGAATCAACTCGGACACTCTGGGGGTCACACAGAGAGGGGCGGGAGCACAACCTGCAGAGGGGCTCTGCAGCTCCACATCTTTCTGCTGGCCTGTTTCTGTGCTGAATGCCTGTAGCTGTCTCAGTCTCTTTGGGGTGTATGGTACGACACAGTCCTCACACCTTTTCCTCTGAAAAGAAATGGCATTTTTGCCTGTGGCTTCAGATCTGTTTGGAGAACAGAAGGATGGCTCAGGGGACTCCCAGGAGAGTCTTACTTGCTTCAAGCGGGCAGCTGCCAGGGGCATGTGGCCAGTAGGAGCACAACACGTCCACAAAGAAGAGGGGCGAGAAGGCTCACTGGTGGGGAAGGTGACTTCCGGCTCCTTCACAGGCCATTGTAGCCTCTGGCTGGGGCAAGATCCTGGATCCCTTCTCCAGAGCCGAACCAGGGGGAGACGATGCTCCCCAGGATCTTCATGAGGACCATGCTCTGTACCCTGCGCCCCTTCGTTTGTCACATCCATTATACCTGATGTAAAGTCTTGCCTGGGAGATGTGGCCACACCAGAAGCATCCTTCATCTGCCCAGGAGCATTCACACTTCCAGAAGATTCAGCTTCGGCCTCTGAATCAGAGTCATCATATGCCACCAGCGAAGCCATCAAAGATTTGGTTTCTTGTCCTGCCACAGCACAATACCTAAAACCAGACAAAGTCAAGAATCAGAAAAGGGGCTGGGCATGTGGTGCATACCTGTGATCCAAGCAGCTCAGGAGGCTGAGGCAGGACTAGACTCAGCAACTTACTGAGGCCCTGTCTCAAAATAAAAAACAAAAAAGGCTGGGGATATGGCTCAAATCCCAATACCAACAAAAAGAAAGAAAGGAAGGAGAAAGAAAGAAAGAAAGAAAGAAAGAAAGAAAGAAAGAAAGAAAGAAAGAAAGAAAGAGAAAGAAAGAAAGAAAGAAAGAAAGAAAGAAAGAA